ATACTAGATAATGACCGAAATGTCATTTAGCTTAGCTTAATAATTATGTCGCTTAGCTTAATCGTGGCCTCTCGAATATTATTGGGAGTCGATATATTTATTGACAGCCGTTATTATGTATTATTATATATTATTGTATAATAATGGCTATTATATATATTATATTATATATAATATTATATATTATTCATCTAAAAGGTGATGGAAGTCTATCGTGACGTACACGTCTTTATTGAATGCTGTGGAAAATTTTTAAATATGTACAGTGGTCCACAAAAGTGTTTATATACCTTTTGAAGCATAATAACTTTCTTAAAACTGAACTAAGTGACCTGAAACTTTTTCAAGATGACTGGTTTACTAGATAATGACCGAAGTGTCTTGTTTAGATTTTGCTTCTATTTGGAATGACAGAAAAAAAATAGAAAACTCTAGTTTTTTAACTTTCATCATCTGAAAAAGAAATTCAGGTCATACAGTCCGGTTTCAAAGAAGTTATTACGTTTTAAAAGGTGTGCGAACACTTTTATGGACCACTGTGAATCTTTGTTTGAAAGTTCCACTCTAGATACCGCTAAAAGAGAATCGTTCTCTTCGCAGAAGAATTTACTTTATTCTTAGTGTTTCATTAACCGTATTTCTGTTGCAGGAATAGGTATGACGGTAGCCAACAATTTTATTTCTCGAGCACTTTCAACACGAGGAATGTACAAATAAGCAGTCATTACAAATACAGGGTGTCCCGAAAATGTCTCGCAATCCGGAAATGGGTGGTTCCTGAGATCATTTGAAGCAACTTTTTCCTTTGCGAAAATTTTCTCCGCGACTTTGTTTACGAGTTATCAACGAAAAACACTGACCAATAAGAGGCGAGCTCGGCAGGCGCGCGACGGCCCAGCCAACGAGTGCACGGAGCCCAGTTCCGCTCATTGGCTCGGCCGTCTCGCGCCAAACGATCTCGCCTCTGATTGGTCACTGTTTTTCGTTAATAACTCGTAAACGAAGCCGCGAATTGCATTTTCGCCGAGGAAAAAGTTGCTTCAAATCACCTCAGGAATCCCCTACTTTCAGATTGCGAGACATTTTTGGGACACCGTGTATATCATTTGAGGATATTAAAAGAAGATGTCATTCTACCATTTGGCTGATATAAAGTTTTTAAAAGGCAAATATTCCTCTCTGGAGAATCCCAAAGAAGCTTCAAATTTGGAACAACCATTATCTGCGAACGAGAAAGTTGTACAAAATGCCGATCGACGTGCTTACATTCCATAAAAATCGGCTAGAGCGTTTTATAAACAATTACCAAGCCGCTAACAATTTCACTCGGCGCTCTGAAAGCTGCGAATTTCGTTAGCCAATGACAATAATTTCACAACATCTTTGTTTAAGATATATAAGATTGTTGAAAAAGCAGAAATTATTGTTAATAAAGGAAGGGGGGGGCGTTCTCCTGCGACTTTAATGAAATTTCTGAAGCGATGCAAACATTGGCGACTTCCCCCCCCCCGGCGCGCGTGTGGAAATTAATGCGAGGTCGAAGGTATAATAACTGCTGTCGTTATTAATTGGTCAATTACCCGGGCAATTAATGGCGCGGTGAGCGCGGTGCTCGTTCGTATATTGAAATCGCGTGGTCGTTACAGAATTCGTAAATTCGACTCGTGAACTTTCTAAATCGATATTGCCCGAGATAAATTCTTGAAAAGGTCCGCGGACGTGTTGCACCGACGTTTTCTGTATCCAGGAGGGATCTAAGATTTCTCTCTTCCGCATCCGAAGGTTTTCGCACGTGAGTTATAGATTCTAGGGTAGTAGTAAACGTGGGAGCTTGCCGAGGCAGGGAAATCGTTGGGATGATAAATCCTTGTTAAATCCGCAAAAAAAGAGAGCAAAACCCCGTGGCAGGCGTCAGGGAGCGGCGACGCAGTGTTAACGCTCTCCGTTTCTACTTTCCTTCCTTCGAGGAATTCTATGCTTCTTGCAAAATGTCTTCGTGTTGCAAAACAATTTCGACGCGATATTACGAACATTTGCGTTTCAAATTCGTGCACCTTTTATATGGGACGATATAAAAAAGGGTAATTCTCGACTTATGTGGAGATTTTGTCGTTGTTGAATATCTTCCAAATTGTTTGATATAGGTAAGAAACAATGAATCGAAGATGGTAATAATTTATTAATAATAGAAAAAGAATAGATTTATCGTAGGGTTGACGTATTATTATTTCTGTACAAACAGCTACCTTTGTAGGTATCGAGGCGACCTTGGAACAATGTTATTTGGTTATGTTAAATAATATCTTAATGTTATCTTCATATATTATATATTATATTATATTGTATTGTATTATATTGTATTATATTATATTGTATTGTATTGTATTGTATTATATTATATTGCATTATATTGTATTGTATTGAATTATATATTGTATTATATTATAATATATTATACTGTATTGAATTATATTATATTGTATTGTATTATATTGTATTATATTATATTGTATTGTATTATATTGTACTATATTATATTATACTGTATTGTATTATATTGTATTATATTATATTATATTACATTGTATTGTATTATATTTTATTATATTATATTGTATTGTATTGTATTGTATTATATTGTATATTATATTGTATTATATTATATTATACTGTATTGAATTATATTGTATTATATTGTATTATATTTGTATTATATTATATTATACTGTATTGTATTATATTGTATTATATTATATTATATTGTATTGTATTATATTCTATTATATTAAATATCATATTATATCATATACTATATCATATATTATCTTCAAAACCTTAAACTGTTTAATGGAAAATCTAGGGCTCCGTGGAACTAAAATTGAGAACCACTGATATAAGAAAGAAGTACTGCAATGTTAAGCATAAGAATCCAGTTGTCTTCAGAAATTACCATCGATAACTTCCTGCAAATCTCCTTTTAACGAGGCACCAAGCACAAACTAAAGAAAAATAATTTATGCATCGTACAAACTTCAAGATAAAATATCTCGTATATTTTCTAGTGCAATATTGAAGAATAATGATCGAATGAGACCATCGCACTACAACGCCACGCAAAAAATATTCGATGAATCGAGTTAAGTAATTATTCATATATGTATATATACAATTATTTATATATATATTACATTTTCATTAACGTTCAACTAATATACAAACAAAGCACGACATCGAAGAAAATAAGAAAAAGATCGATTTGTAGAATGCTTCAATCATCCTCAAGCATTGTAGAAATTCTTTTTGTAATTAAAAAAAGTTCTAATACTTTTTCATACTACTTAAACGCTCTCGCAATCTCTATATAAAGGTACGTAGTGTGCATTTTACGACAAGAGCGCTATTTTATTAGCGTTTTTCAGAAATATTGATAAACCATTTTTCTCACGTTCTTGTAATATACTATTTTTCGTTCGCAATAAACAATTCCTTCGACAATCAAATTCACCATTCTAATATTGCCTAACAACATATTATCGTTGACTATATTTGAGGAAAGTTTGTTTCCTTAATATATACAATAAATAAAACTTTAACTTCTTAGCGTGTTGCATTACGAATTCCGTAATTACTACTTCTTTACAAAATTTTTATAACGTTTTTTTCTCAAATTTTATCAAATTACGTAAACATCAGTATTCCTCGTTCAAGCACAGCGCCGTGCCCTCGAATTAGGGTGTAAAAATTCAGTTCCTAACTATAATCTAGTGTTATAAATTGCGCAACGTCTTTGATTTAATCTAAATTTTGATTACAAATTAAAATAGCTGCGCGCATTTACATTTTATTCTCCTCAATTTGTTACCGCGTTCATATTGCAAAAATGTAGCAAATTTATCAGCATTTAATAGCGTGGAATTTACCCGGCGACCTATTAAAACTGTTTAAAAAAGTGACGAAACTTTTAGATGACTCCAGTCTTTCGCGACGGGTGCAAACTGCGGGCAATTTTTATTTTTAATAAAGATTCTAGCGACGAGAGGATATATATATATAAGTATATTATATAAGTATATATATAAGTATATATAAGTATATTACGCGTATCAGAAATGTTTTTTATCTGTGCGAAATCGATCGGAGAGTAACACAGATCATTGGCGAACGAAGTCGAAGTTCAGATTTGTTGTAAAAAAAAATTGCTAAGTAAGAGCAAGCGAACGTAGTTGAGAATAATAAAATAAACTACAATAAACTAATATACGATATATAATATACTACTAATATAATAACTACAATAAACTAATATACTATATAATATACTACTAATATATAATATATAATATAAATATACTACTAATATATAATATATAATATAAATATACTACTAATATAGTAACTACAATAAACTAATATACTATATAATATACTATACTATAAAATAAAATAATATAAATTACAATATTACAAAGAGAAAAACTTCAAAGAAACGTCCCGAAAGTATCGCCAAAGTTCCAAAAGCCTCGAGAAAGTAGACAATTTCGAACGGCACGGAACCGTGCAGCAATTTCGGCCGGCGCTGGAAGGGTTAAACATCGGCCAACGTCGTCGCGAAGAATAAATAAATCAAGCGCAACGATAGCAGCGTCCCGATGGCCGTTTTGTCCGTTGAAATTTATTTGCACGGTTGTCCAGCAATCGAATCCCGGCGTCGCGGGGCTCGTGGAAGGTGGCAGGCAGGCAGGGCGGACAGTAAGTGGAGCATTAAGTTCGAAATTTCGGTGCAGGAGGCACACACAATCGGGCCCGTATATGCGCTATTCTTGGTGGACGAGTCCAAGAGCACTTGATAGGCTAAGTAAATCAGAGGCCTTTGGTCAAGAGCGGAGCCTCCGCTGCGCTCAGAGGGGCCTGGCGAAGGGGTCGGCCAGGGGCGAGGGGGGGAAGGAGNATAATATATAATATAAATATACTACTAATATAGTAACTACAATAAACTAATATACTATATAATATACTATACTATAAAATAAAATAATATAAATTACAATATTACAAAGAGAAAAACTTCAAAGAAACGTCCCGAAAGTATCGCCAAAGTTCCAAAAGCCTCGAGAAAGTAGACAATTTCGAACGGCACGGAACCGTGCAGCAATTTCGGCCGGCGCTGGAAGGGTTAAACATCGGCCAACGTCGTCGCGAAGAATAAATAAATCAAGCGCAACGATAGCAGCGTCCCGATGGCCGTTTTGTCCGTTGAAATTTATTTGCACGGTTGTCCAGCAATCGAATCCCGGCGTCGCGGGGCTCGTGGAAGGTGGCAGGCAGGCAGGGCGGACAGTAAGTGGAGCATTAAGTTCGAAATTTCGGTGCAGGAGGCACACACAATCGGGCCCGTATATGCGCTATTCTTGGTGGACGAGTCCAAGAGCACTTGATAGGCTAAGTAAATCAGAGGCCTTTGGTCAAGAGCGGAGCCTCCGCTGCGCTCAGAGGGGCCTGGCGAAGGGGTCGGCCAGGGGCGAGGGGGGGAAGGAGGGCGGGCGGGTGTATATCGGGCGAAGCAATAGTGGCGGCAGGAGCAACAAAGGGTTCGCTAAGAGCCTCTTCACCGACCACCACCCCCGCTCGCTTCCTCCGACCACCAAAGCATCACCTACTTCTCGTTGCAGCGAGGCTTGCTCGGCCCGTGATGTGATTGCTACCGAAATGTGTTTACCGTAAACCGTATCAAACTGTCGGGGCGTCCGCCCATCGCCACCGTTCCCGTGTCTTTTCCCCGGACAACATCGGTAAAAGTAGGCATCGCTCCCTATCGATTCGCGAACGACGTGGCGTGGCGTGCGTCGCGTCGCATCCGTTCGTCTCCGTAGCTTTGAAGCGGCGCCCTTTTACCCTTTGTCTCGTGCCCGCCCTGTTTAGAAGTTGCCGTGCGGTGGCTGCTGGCCGACGGAACACCGTTGCCGAAGTTCGCCTCCCCCGCTCCGCCCCCTCCCGTAACGTTGTTATTCGCGAAAGCTCGGTCGCTTTCTTCTCTTTCTTCTCCTTCCTTCTTTTCCCTTTCCCCGCCGTTTTAATAGCTCGGTAATTAAAGGGATGGCCGGAACGCTAATGCAGTTTGGCCGCGCCTGTTCAAGTTTTGCCATCGAGTCCCCTCCCCTCCCGCGCGACGCAGCAACACGGCTGTTAAAAGACACTGGTTCAACTGTTCAATAGAGCGAGTTACGGGGAATCGAATCGAATCGGACCGGACCGGACCGCGCGCGCGGCAACGTCGATCAGTAAGGGGTCTGTGCGGCGCTGCTCGACACACGGCACTTGTAGCAGGTCTTCCATATCTCGAACAGACAGATCGCCGAGTGGAAACGATAGAATATCGCGAGCGGCATCGAGACGTGCGTGATGATCGTCCATGCCCAGACGCCGAAGAACTGCAGGTGATCGGGCCGTACGCCGGCCCGCGACTTCTCCAAGGTGTTCACCGTCCACAGGGCTATGTTGACGACGATCAGGAATGTGATCAGCTCCTTGCCGGGCTTGTCGTTCCTCGAGCACCGTCTTCCCCACGCGATCTAGAAAATTACGCGCGATATTGAGAAACCACTCGAGGAAATGATTAAAAGCATCGCCTGCGCGGTTCGTTCGCGGATCGATCGCGGCGTGTGCACGGGGCTTACTTTAATGAGCAAAGTTTGGCTGGTGCTCTGCATCAACGCCAATAAATCCGTGATCAACGAGAGCACCCAAGTCGGGCCCATCGTTAATATATCACCGACCACGCCGAAAAGGCAGTGCAGATAGACGCCCGCCTGAGCCGCCGCCAATAGCGTCGTGTCCAGCTCCGACGGTTTGATTATTTTTTGCTGGAGCGCCTGCAGCTTCAAAGTTCCGGCGACCGAAGCGAGCATGCCTGCAAAGTTCCACGTTAACGAACGCTTTGTT